CACACACTCCATAGGAACTTCTTACCTCTCTTGACTCCCACCCAAACCTCACCACACCATATTTTCCAGCCACCACCCTCCTCCATAATGCCTCCCTCTCTCCCTCTTKCCCAAATCCCCATAACCATTTCACTAAAAGTGATTTGTTAATTAGTCTTACCCTTCTCAGTCCTAATCCTCCCCCCCCCCTGATCTACATACATTCTCCTACTTGACCAGGTGAAACTTTTCGTCCCCACCCCACCCCCTCCTATAGGAAGTCCCTCTGAATTTTATCAACTGCAGAAGCCACTTCTTTGGGAACTTTTAAAAAGGAAAGATAGTATGATGGTGGACTAGACAGAGCACTCTTCATGAGTGCGATTCTTCCACCCAACGACAGATACTTGGCTTTCCATCTATCTAGCCTCCTCTCCACCCTTTCTATTAAAGGCCTCCATATGTTAATTGGTGTTGTCTTTGATCCCACCGGTAGCCCAAAATATGTGAAGGTAGCTCCCCTACCTTAAATTCCAGCACCTCTGCTAACTGTCTCACTTCCTCGACACTTGTGTCCCCAACTCCCATCAGTGAACTCTTTTCAAAATTCACCTTTAGACCAGTTAGCATCTCGAAGTTGACTAAAATAGCTCTAAGGTTCAGAACTTGATTTGCTGAAGCATCTAGGAAAATTAGTGTATCATCAGCATATTGTAGGTGAGAGATACACGGGCCTTCATTTCCAACTTTGAAGCCTTCTATTCACCCCCTCTGCACACCTTTTCTTCATGATCAGGTTTGGTGCTTCCAAGACTAAGACAAACAATAGAGGGGAAAGAGGGTCCCCTTGCCTCAGCCCTCTAGATGCTTGGAAAAATTCTGATGATACTCCATTGATTAACAAAGAGAAGGAGGCTGATGAAATGGACCCATATACCCAGCCCCTCCAAACCTCCCCAAACCCCATCAACCTTTTTACAAACCAAACCTGGTCTTCCACTTCTTAACCTTGAATCTATACATTCACTAACCACCAACACCCCATCCAGGATTTGTCTTCCTTGACTTCCTTCTACAAACACCATCTGTGTCTCCGCTATCACCTACTGAACCACTCTCCTCAGCCTTCCTGCCAACACGTTTGCCAAAAGCTTGTAAGGGCTGTGCTTATCAGATTAATTGGTATGAAGTCTTTTATGTTCACTGCCCCACTTTTCTTCTATATTAGTGAGATGAAAGTAGCATTTTCCCTCCTATCTAGAGTTCTGAATTCCAAAAACTCCTTGAACATCTGCATAAAGTCCTCTTGTAAGAAATACCAGCAGCTTTTAATGAAATTAAAGTTAAAACCATCAGGCCCTAGTGCTTCGTCACCATTGATTTTTTTCAAAACCTCCTTTACCTCTCCAACTTCAAGATCCCATTCTAGCCAAACTACTTCACTGTTACTTAACCTATTTGGTTCCAATTCTCCCAGAGACGCCCAGCTCCAATCTCTCCCCGTGTACAGCTGCTTGTAATGAGAAACCACTTCATCTTGAATCCCCCCCATGTGTCTATCACCTCCTCCTCCACTTGGATCCTTGTGATCAGATTTCTCCTTCTCCCATTTGCAAAAGCATGGAAGAAAGAGGTATTCTTGTCTCCCTCTTTCAGCCATATGGCCCTAGATTTTTGTCTCCACCTGACTTCCTCCCTCAACATTAGGTCCTCTAGCTCGGAATCCAACACCACCATCTCATTTTGTGTCTCTCTCTTGAATTCTCCTTCCTTTCTTACCCTTTCTAACCTGGCCAGCTTCTCCTAAATCTCTTTTTCTCTACCCTCTTCCCCTCCAAATGCTTCTTTCCTTCTCCCCCTCAACTCTTGCTTAATGGCTTGCAATTTTTTCATCACTTTTAAATCTGCTGGTCTTTCCACTTACTTTCTACCCATTCCACTAAGTTTGGTTGGAGTAGCCATACATTCTTGAATCTGAAAGATTCAAGGCTTATAACA